TGCTGAATGGCCCTTCCCTGGCTGGGGAAGAAATAGAAGGAAAAGGGAGCGGTGGTCGTAGGTGACAACCGTTCGTATTTCTGGAGATTTTGCACATGGTGTTTCGTGCCTCAAAGACTGCTTGCCAGAATTTAATTTGCAATCTTTGGGATGGGAGCTCACGGCCTGGCAATTATCGCAAGGGACCGATAAGGTCTGTTACTGAAGTTAACTCCTTGAAGGGCTCTTGCCTGGACTTTTCGGTGGGTGAATGCCATTAATTCACAGGAGATAAATAAAGAGGGGTTTTTCGTGACAAGGAGTCTGTTTCTTGCTTCTTCTAAGGCTGGGTCAGAACAGTTAACCCTGCGGTCATTAAGCATCTCCTGCTTTCCCCCACTTATTTTGCTTCTCTGAAGCTGGCTGGGAAGGTCACAAATGGTCATCACACGACCCCCAGGATGCTTCAACCATCGTAAATACAGGTAGTCCTTGACTTACAACAGTTCATTTTGTGACTGTTCAAAGTTACTACTATTAATTGTCTCATCATTCCCATCACTTCCACTTGTTATTGCATGACTGTAACTTTGTTGTTTGTATCCTTACGATTTATATTGATATTGTTTCCTGATTGCTTATTTGTACCCTATGACTATCATTAAGTGTTGTACCTTATGATTCTTGATGAACGTATCTTTTCTTTTATGTACACTGAGAGCATATGCACCAAGACAAATTCTTTGTGTGTCCAATCACACTTGGCCAATAAACTGTTCTATTCTATTCTATTCTATTCTATTCTATTCTATTCTATTCTATTCATTATGACGTCACTGAAAAAAGTGACATGGCCATTTTTCACACTTACAATCCTTACAGCATCCCCATGGTCACATGATCAAAACGAAGATGCTTGGCAAACTAATTCACGTTTATGACGGTTGCAGCGTCTCCGAGTCATGCGATCCCCAATTTGCGACCTTCTGACAAGCAAAGTCAATGGGGAAGCCAGATTCACTTAACAACCGGGTTACTCATTTACCAACTGCAGTGATTCCCTTAACAATTCTGGCAAGAAAAGTTTTAAAGTGGGGCTTAGCAATACGTCTGTTCCTAAGCAACAGAAATTTTGGGCCCAATTGTGGTTGCAAGTCAAGGACCATCTGTATTGAGTCCCTGGTGAAGGGAAGATTATTAACCGAAGTTGTAAAGAGAAAAAAAACTTGCATCTTGATTTTCTAGAAGATATCAGCAGTTCTTGACCTACGACCATAATTGGGACCATAATTTCGGTTATTAAGCAAAGTGGCTGTTAAGAAAGTTGTGTCTGATTTTATGATTTCTGCCATAGTTGTTGAGAAAATCATTCCATTAAGTGGATCACATGGTTGTTAAGCAAATCCAGCTTCCCTCAATGATTATGCTTGTCGGAAACTGGCGGTAAGATTTGAATGGTGCAGTGGCCTAGAGGTGGAGCTCTCGCCTCACAATCAGGAGGCTATGAGTTCGATCCTAGGTAGAGGCAGATATTAACAAAACTCCGCATTGGTGACAAGAAGGGCATCTGGCCATTAAACACTCTGCTAGCTCCATTCAGTTGCCCAGACTCCACCCCGCAAGGAATTATGGGGTTGTTAAAAGAAGGTGATGATGAAATTGGTGGGAAGGTTGCAAGTGGCAATCATGTGACCCTAGGATGCTGGAACTGTCATACATACATGCCAATTGTCAAGTACCGGAATTTTGATCACATGACCATAGGGATGCTGCGAAGGTTGTAAGTGCGAGGACGGACTGCAAGTCCCTTTTTTCAATGCTGTTGTAGCTATGAATGGTCAGAAATGTTGGGCACGAGTGCGATCGTACGTTGAGGGCTACCTGTATACCCACCTTAATCAGTGTCCTTAATTAGGGCAAACATGCCCACCGCTGATAAAATACGAATTTCTTGTCTGAGAAATGTTAAATGTTGCAATCCCTGATCTACGAAAGAGAAGGCACCCTGAAGTCCAGCAGAAGTTTGACTTCTGGCTCCTGTTGTGGCCCGCCAGCAGCCAGCGGATCTGCCAGCAGATTCGGACAGTGAGGAGGTTGGGGAGGAACATGAGCCAGTCCTGGAGTCTGGGGAAGGCTCCAATGAGGGCTCTGCATCAGAGGCAGAGAGTGGGCCAGGGCCGTATGCCAGGTATCAGCTGCCTTTGGAGTCAGACATCAGTGAGGCAGACGAACAGCTGGAGCCTGTTCCCAGTGTGCGCATGCGCAGTTGCCAAACGAAGGGAAAAGCTAAAGAACAAGGGTCGACTAGGGAGTAAGGCCACAGGTGGATGATGAATGGCCCCTCCCAGAAGGAATAAAAGAGGAGCGAAAAGGGGAGTGGAGTTCGCAGGAGACAATTAGTTCATTTCTGCATTCTTGCCAATTATTGCGGTGTCTGAAAGATATCAGCCTGGCCATTCTCCAAGCCTGATAAAGGTCGGTAATTGTGAACTATCTTGAAAGTCTGTGGGAGAGGAAAGACTTTGCTGGAGAGGAATTCACTGTAAATTAAATAAAAGGGGTTTATCGGGACGAGGACTCGGCTTCGTGCTGCTGGGGAAGCCTAGGTCAGAACAGCTCCTGCCACCTTTTCTCTCCCACTAAGGTGGTCTTTTGAGAAATATTCCTCACCGAGCCCAAATCAGAAGCTTCAATAAACCTGGCTGCAATTCACTTGTGATCCCACTCGCCACTCGCATGACAAATGAATTCCGGGTTTTCAACGTGAACAAAAACACTGTTGGGTTTAAATATATATATAAATGTATGTATATTTAAGACTCCGGCAAAAGGCAGCCGATTTGAAGCAAGCTGACGGTACAGAAAAATGGAGACGATGCCGTTGGGACAAAAAGATGGCGGTGGCTTTGCCCAGGGTGTGTTTGGGGGAGGAGAAAAGGGGAAAGTTGGGAAAAACACAGCTAGCAGCAAGAATGTACAAACTCAGCACAGTTACAAAGCACCCATGCATGAGGAAGGTAGGGCTTTACCGGCTCTGCCTGCTGTTTCTGGCCCCAAAACTTTACACAGCCGGGCAGCACAAGAATGGCAGCAGAGGAAGTAGAAGAATCAACTTTTAGCAAAAGATCTAAAAGCACTCAGTTTATCCTAGGCAAGAAAGCAAGATATATATATATAGATATATATATGTATATATTTTGTCCTACGTACTAGTGCCTGGCTAACCGAAGTGGCAAATTTGTTCATCTAACGTGCCAAGCTGACTTGCCACATACATGTCACCGCCGAACTGAAAGCAACAACTCAGCTTGCTAATTTGACAAACTGGTTTTTGTCATTTAGGATATATGCACTTATCACCTCCCGTATTGACTACTGCAATGCCCTCTCCATGGGGCTGCCCTTGAAGACCACTCGGAGACTTCAGCTAGTGCAGAATGCAGCCGCGCGGGTTGTGATGGGAATATCCCGACACTCCCATGTTACACCTCTCCTACGCGACTTGCACTGGTTGCCGGTTGCCCTCCGAGTGAGATTCAAGGTGCTGGTGATTACCTATAAGGCCCTACATGGGTTAGGCCCGGGATATTTGGGGGACCATCTGCAGCCAGCAACAGCTTCCCATCGCCCGGTGCGTTCCCACAGAGAGGGCCTTCTCAGGGTGCCGTCAGCCAGACAGTGTCAGCTGGCAACCCCCAGGGGGAGGGCTTTCTCTGTGGGCGCACCTACCCTTTGGAATCAACTGCCCCTGGAGCTCCGGGTGGCCCCCGATCTCTGCTCTTTCCGCCGCGACCGGAAAACGTGGCTGTTTCGTTTGGCCGGCCTGGACTGATGGGGTTTTAATTCTAATTTAATTTTAACTTGTTAGTCTTAATTGTATTTGAGATTTGGATTCAATTTTTTAACTTTTTATTAGATGTTTCTTAACTGTTGTGAGCCGCCCTGAGTCCGGCTGGAGATAGGACGGCATATAAATCTCATTAATAAATAAATAAATAAATATATAACCCAATCTGAAAAAGAAAGCATGACGGGCTGCGGCTTGTGAGGAAAGCTGATAATGGGAGAATTGCAGTTTAAATGCTTGCTCATGGAGTGTGAACTGTTTCAACCTGGAGGGTTTAAAAATTCAAAATGCTTTGTTTCAGGTACGGAATGGCACCCTTCTCCTAATGTATAAAACAGACAAAGATGATCCGGAGGGGGAAGAAAAAAACCATTACACGCTTCAAGTGCTCGTTCCTCGTTCAAAACTAAACGGCTTATGTTGAAGACACGGCGTTTTGAATCCAAATCGGTTGGATTCGAAACGTTGTGAATGCCTCTAGTGCACCATTTTTCAACCTTGGCAAGTCTAAGATGTGTGGACTTCAACTCCCAGAATTCTCCAGCGGGCATGCTGACTGGGGAATGCTGGGAGCTGAAGTCCACGGATCGTAGACTTGCTGAGGTTGAGAGTTTTGAATAAATACATGCATAACTACTAATATTACTTAACAAGATTTTAAGATAGCAGCCGCGGAGGCAACTATGACTTCTGTTAGAAAGCACAAAAGAAAAAAAACAAGTTAATACTGTAATAATCCTATTCTGTTTAAGAAAATATCTTCTTTAAATTCAGAGAAAGGTTTAAGGCGAGGGTTGCAATTTTTTCTGGCCTTGGGTTGGAGCTTGCATTGGAGCCCAAATATTTCCTTCGCCAAAAGCAAGCACTGTACGTGATTATGGTGTGCTTACTGTCAAAAGCTTATCTTACTACACTGTCTTCATTGTCAACTTCTGGCTTAAGATCTCCCAGAGTTCATTTATATTTATGTAAAGCCTGAACTTGATGTATAATGAAGCTGATTTATTTTTTACTGGATACCTGCTTGTTTCCAAATTAAACACAGACCTCAAAAAGATTCTAAATTTTCTTTTGCACAGTTTGGGAGAAATTTATACCAACTTCGTACCAAACAGGAAATTCTAGCAAAAGTGCATCACATATTATCGGCACAAATAGGACCCCAGGTAGTGAGCTTTTCACTTATGATGAATATATCATAATATACTGAATATAAACAGTCGTCCTGGGAGAGAAGCTAAACAGAAGTGACGCTTATATGAACTGGTTCTCCGCACATAACCTCCAACACAACACCCACTTGAAGGAAGATCTACACAATCACAATGTGGAGTGTGTGCACTGTTCATCTGGGCCACTCCGTATGTGGACAAGTCAGTTCCTACAAACGGCACCATGAAGGTATGACATTTTCTCCTTCTGGAACTCCAACATAATATCCCTAAGCATCAAGGAACAATATTCCGATAATCTTCTTTAAGACACTATTTCATAAACTGAACATTTGGAACTGGCACATGATAATAATAAAAAAAACCCTCACATGGCAATAATACATTCAGTAGTTGTCAGATAAAACATAAAGTACGCATTAAACATGTGATGTACAAGAAGACTATAAACTGAACCTAGGTCCTGTTTAATCGTTTCACACAATTATCCCTACAAGATTTTCACCCTATGTAATCTACCTCTATCTATCTATCTATCTATCTATCTATCTATCTATCTATCTATCTTCTATCTATCTATATTCTATCTATATTCTATCTATCATCTATCTATTCTTATCATCTACTATCTATCTCTATTTATCATCTATCTGTCTTCTATCTATCTATCTATCTATCTATCTATCTATCTATCTATCTATCTTCTATCTATCATCTATCTCTTTCTATCATCTACTATCTATCTCTATTTATCATCTATCTGTCTTCTATCTATCTATCTATCTATCTATCTATCTATCTTCTATCTATCATCTATCTATCTTTCTATCATCTACTATCTATCATCTATTTATCATCTATCTGTCTTCTATCTATCTATCTATCTATCTATCTATCTATCTATCTATCTATCTATATTCTATCTATCATCTATCTATCTTTCTATCATCTACTATCTATCTCTATTTATCATCTATCTGTCTTCTATCTATCTATCTATCTATCTATCTATCTATCTTCTATCTATCATCTATCTATCTTTCTATCATCTACTATCTATCTCTATTTATCATCTATCTGTCTTCTATCTATCTATCTATCTATCTATCTATATTCTATCTATCATCTATCTATCTTTCTATCATCTACTATCTATCTCTATTTATCATCTATCTGTCTATCTGTCTTCTATCTATCTATCTATCTATCTATCTATCTATCTATCTTCTATCTATCATCTATCTATCTTTCTATCATCTACTATCTATCATCTATTTATCATCTATCTGTCTTCTATCTATCTATCTATCTATCTATCTATCTATCTATCTATCTATCTATATTCTATCTATCATCTATCTATCTTTCTATCTATCATCTATCTATCTATCTTCTATCTATCTATCATCTATCTGTCTTCTATCTATCTATCTATCATACATACATACATACATCCTGCCTGCCTGCCTGCCTGCCTGCCTGCCTATCCATTCACATATGCAATGATTGCTTTTGCGTAAGATGTAGGTTCAATGGATAATACCAAACTACACAGCTTACAAACTGTGTCCAGACTTACAACTGCTATCTAAATGCAGGGGCTAGAAATACAACACGGCATATCTTCCAACCTGTTGTACTCTGGACAGTTATTTCCAACTGCATTTGGAAAGGATAAGAAATAGGATGTGCCTTGCTACTGAAGTCTAATCTTAGAGGATGTGCCTTGCTGGCTTATTTCAACAGCCTGAAATTGGAGTGTACAATTTACTGCTAATACAAGCTGATGCCAAGGACAAAAACAACAGGGTTTCATTGTTCAACACTGCAGTAAATAACTAATTAAGCAACTAAAGAGTCAATGGGTTAACCCCTTACTTTCATCTGTAACAATTAAATAACACTACTCACTAAGTGCTATTTCTAAGATTCAGGAAAGCAAGTTGCAAGGAAAAGAGAACCAATGAGATATTTTTAGTGTTCAGTAGTTTGCAAGGGTTACCTTTTGAGTTGCTTGAGATCCAAACTTGCTAGCCTGTTGACAAAAGCAAAATTGGCTTATTTAGATTCTATTATTTCTTTTAAAAATCAAAAATTCAAACACTCTGCAAATTCTACAATTCTTTTTCAATTTTTTTAAGTAGGCCTACCTCCTACCATCTTAAGGAACTGGCAACAATTATGCCCCCACATCCCAAATTATGTGTACAACACAAAAGGTTTTTAATACTACCTAAACACATTCCATTCATTTCTTCATTTTGAATGAGTCTAACCATCTTTCATACTTCTCTGGAACAATATTACGAATCTATCGAGTCTGAACGCTATAGAAAAAAACACACACAGATGCACAGACAAGAAAAGGCAGGGTACAATGACAAGTATAAATGCTATTATTACAGACACGATCTCAATCATAGCATTCTTGGTGGGTAACAACAATTTATAGAGCTTTGCTTTGTGAGCCTTCGTGTTTAACAGCCTGAGCAATATTTTTATACATTTGTAAGAACCGTGCTTACTTAATACCAGAATAAGGAAATACCAGAGCCATTTTACATTTAAACAGCAGATAGTCTAGAACAGCGGTGTCAAACTCAAGGCCTGCGGGCCGGATCCGGCCCACAGGGTGCTTAGATCTGGCCCGCAGGGCCACCCTGGAAACAGCGAAAGACCAGCCCGCAGTGACTCTGCCAGTTAAAATGGAGCACAGGAGAGCTGCGTGCAGCCCTCCCAAGCTCATTTTCACTGGCAGAGGGTTGCAGGAGGCCTTTGCAGTCAAAAACGGATCTCGGGAGCCCGTTTTCGCTGGCAGAGCGCTCGGGCCTCCACAGGTGCCCCCTATACGAGTGATGTTGAGCTGGCCACACCCACCCTGCCTCCCCAAGATCAAACACAACCCTGCTGCCGCCCTCAATGAAATAGAGTTTGACACCCCTGCTCTAGATTCAGTCAGAATGTTTACTTACACCCTCTTTAGCTGCTGAAGCGAACTTGCTTGCTCCAGATGTAAAACTACTCCAGCCCTGGGGGAAAAAAAATGATGGAAGGTCAGAGATCCTGCTTTGTGGCGATACTTCAGTGTCTAAAAAAACCAATCTTACATATTTGGGTATGAGCCTAGGCCTGAAATGCGCACAACATAGCCACTGCTGTTTACCAGTGCAGAGTCCATATACGCGTTAAGAGAGACGTGGGAAATTTGCAAATGGAGCAAAGGGAATTTGAAAGAGATTCTCTACGTTTCAGGTCTTGGGTTATCTGCCGCTTTCAGATCCTCAAGTCTACTATCAAGTAAAATGTGACTCTATTATTTATACAGAATGAAACCTGGAGGAAAAGTTGGTTTCACTCCTGCTTCATTTTAGATCAGCTTCAAGGAAGCAAGGTTTTGTAACCTGACCCCTTCACCCAAAGCTTTACAGCAATATTTTTGTCCAAACATGGCTCTGTGAAGATGTGTGGACTTCAACAATCTAAAACTATAAATCTGTTGTGGTCTGTCATCTACCGGCCCCTCCAGCAGCTGAATCAGAGGAGGAAGAGGAGGCATGGGTGTCAGGGCCAGCATCAAGGCAACCTGAGAGCTCCGAGGGGGAAGAGGGAATGGAGCTGTCAAAGAGAGAGAGAGAGATGGAGGTGGAGCCTGGGCCGTCCATCAGCCCTCAGATGGAGAGTCAACAGCCCCCAAGTCTGGAGGTGGCTGGTGAGGAAGAGGAGGAACAGCTGGGTCCAGTGCCTGACGCATGGATGCGCAGAAGGCAGAGGAGAGGAGAGCAGTGGAAATCTATGGGCCGGTCCTTGGAACAGAAGAGCCACCGCTGCTAGCAAAGCCCCGCCCTAGACGTGGGAATAAAAGGCAGGGGGCAGAGATAAATAAATGTGGCAGACAACTATTCATCTCCCTGCCAAACAGACTTGTTAGCCTGTGGTGAAAGAGAAACTTTTTGCCAGGGCTGCTGGCGCTCCTAATAAAGAAATCATTGCTTCAACTACAGAGGGTTTGTCGTGTTTGGGGAGCTGGGTCAGAACAAAATCCTTTAACTTCTACTCCAGACAGGAGTAAAATCATCCATTCCTATTAGAATGCCTAATTTTATTCTTTAAAAAAAAAAAAAAAAATTAGAAATGACAGGACAGCAAAGCGGTATCTTGAATTAGCACGCCTCCAAACAATTTCGACTTACCGAGTAGAGAGAAGACATGGCGTTGTTCAGGAAGTCATCTTCCTTTTTTGGAGGAGTGACTGTGTTCCCAAACCCGACATAGCGATTTTCTTGGCCGCTGAATTGGAACCCAAAAGGAAAGAAGGATTAAGCTATTTATAATCAAAATACATTTGCTGGTCTTTAAAGTGCTGCAAGAGCCACTTAGTGCCATACAATGTTTCCCAATTTGGGCAACTTTAAGCTGTGGTGACTTCAACTCCCAGAATTCTGGGAGTTGAAGTCCACGCAGCTTAAAGTTGTCGAGGTTGAAAAACATTGGTATAGTGGCTAAAGGCAACAGATTAGAAACTGGGAGAGCTGAGTTCTAGTCCCACCTTAAGTCAGTTACTGTTTCTTGGCCCTAGGAAGGAGGCAATGGCTAACCGCATCCAAAAAAGTTGCCAAGGAAACTGCAGGGACTTGTCCTGGCAGTTATTCTGAGTCAAAACTGATTTGAAGGCATTAAAAAAAAAAAAAGATTCTTCAAGGCCTTTGGCTGAATTCCATCTAAAATGCTTACCTTTGATAGGAACCAACGTCGTCGTTCAGCCAGTCTTCAAATGCTTTATCAGAAGTGGGGCCGGCATTCTGCGGTTGCCCTCCAGAGCTTCTGGAAAAAAAAACACACATCAAAAATGAAACTACAGAAAGACAACATCTATTACCCTGTTTCCCTATCCTATATATAAGACCTATAAGACCTATATATAAGACCTATCCTAAAAATAAGCCCTAGCATAGTTTTTATGTGCCTAATATAAGTCCTACCCCAAAATAAGCCCTAATTAAGAGCTTGCACAGCCAGCCTCCTGCCCCACAGTGAGCAAGCAGAAGTGGGCCTCCTGTACATGGGGGGGGGGGGGGGAGATAAGATACCCCCTGAAAATAAGCTCTAGTGCAGGGTTCCTCAAACTTGGCAGCTTTAAGACTTGTGGACTTCAACTCCCAGAATTCTCCAGCCAGCTGGCTGGAGAATTCTGGGAGTTGAAGTCCACAAGTCTTAAAGCTGCCAAGTTTGAAGACCTCTGCCCTAGTGCCTATTTTGGGACCCAAAAGAAAATAAGACTCAGTCTTATTTTCGGGAAAACACAGTAAATTACAAACACTGTGGGTTGTTGGTTTTTTTTTTTGTTTTTTTGTTTTACAGTACAACACGCAACATGCCAAAGTTGGGCCCAAACGCCAAAGTTGGGCCCAAACGCGATCTCTCTCTAAGTAGACATTGCAAATCCGCCCTTTGCTGACAAATGCATTCATTTTTTTTAGTTAATTGGCTTATTTTTTCTTTTGTCAGATTTATATTCTATTCTTTCTGTTCAGGAGAAATGAGTGACGTAAGCCCTCGCTGACACGTGCACGCTGACACGTTCTCAAAATGTTCAGCTGCATTCCTCAAACGACTGTGCTTTTGGGAGTAACAAAATGAAAGCTTTAAATTAGAACCTAAGCCAAGGAATGTTTACCGATGAGCTGAGGACAAAGCAACCTTGGGCTGCGGAGGACTCCAATTCCGAGCAGCAGAAGTTTCAATGGACCATTCTTTACCTTCAGCTAAGACGGCCACCTGAAGAAAGAAAGGACTTTAAAGAAATTCTTTAGCGCGGAGATGGCCCCCTTTATGACTTGCGGACTTCAACTCCCAGAATTCCTGAGCACGTGTGGCTGGCTCAGGAATTCTGGGAGCTGAAGTCCACAAGTCTATCGTTTGCTTTAGCACAACAAGAACAGGGTAGGTTGAACACAATTGGACTCTAAGGTCTATAAAATGTTTCAGACTCTTTTCTGAGATAGAGACAGACAAGTTTTCTTACTCTGAGTTGATATTTCCTCTTTCTATCTTGACTGATTATTCACGTTGCCTGGTATTCTTGCACCAATAGAGGCTAAACCAATTTTGTTGTATACATGATGTACAATGACAATAAATGTTTTGAACTTTGAACTGGGACTCTGGCCAGTGACACGAATAGAATAGAATAGAATAGAATAGAATAGAATAGAATAGAATAGAATAGAATAGAATAGAATAGAATAGAATAGGACAGAGTTGGAAGAGACCTTGGAGGTCTTCTAGTCCAACCCACTGCTTAGGCAGGAAATCCTATACCATTTCAGACAAACGGTTGTCCATTCTCTTCTTAAAAACTTCCAGTGTTGGAGCATTCAGAACTTCTGGAGGCAAGTTGTTCCACTGATTAATTGTTCTCAGTGTCAGGAAATTCCTCCTTAGTTCTAAGTTGCTTCTCCCCTTGATTAGTTTCCACCAATTGCTTCTTGTCTGCCTTCAGGTGCTTTGGAGAATAGTTGACCCCCTCTTCTTTGGGGCAGCCCCTGAGATATTGGAACACTGCTATCATGTCACCCCTACCATTAAGCATTAAGATGTTATCAATGTTATCAGAGATAGTGAGATGGGTGGCAAACCGAATGAATGAATGAATGAATGAATGAATGAATGAATGAATGAATGAATGAAACATTCTCTCACTCTCTCTCTAAGTGACAAAATGCATCTGCTCCTTAGATGTCAATGAGACTACTAGGCCAATTTGGGGGAAACCGTTCTTATATTTACTACTTAGGGCAAGGCTTTTCTGTTTATTGTTATATATTTCTTCGCACAGGGTAGTAAGTACCTCGACACGCAACCATAATGGAGCCTGCCGTAACAGTCGTAAAATGGATCGGTCCTGTGACTGAGCGGATTTTACATTTTTTTTTTTTTTGCAGGGGTCATTCAGCAAGGCCTGCGGACATTAATCAAATTGATGTTTTGCTATGGGTGCATTTTGCCCAAATCTCAGCAAACATGTTGTAAAATGTGGTCACGTGACCACAGCAAATGGTTGTATATGCGGCCAAGTGGCTTGAAATTCGAGCATCTTCAAACTTTGGTTCCAGATGGTAAGTAATTCCAAGGTAAGCTCCATTGTAATTAAGTGGCCAGTCTTAAGTCGAGGACTAGCTGAGAGAGTAAGTTTGTCAGCGTCTACTTAATACTCCTGGCTTCCTATTTTCCCCACAACAACAACAACAAGCCCAAGGTGGAGTAGGCCGAGAGGATGTGACTGGCTCAAAGTTATCCATCCAGCTTTCCTGTCTAAGGTAGGACTAGAAATCACACTCTCCTGGTGGCCCAAAGTCACCCAAGCGGCTTTCATGCGTAAAGCGGGACTAGAACTCCTGGTTTCTAGATGAACACATTCAGCAAATGGGCTCTTTAGCCACCGATTTGCCCCTCATCCTTCTACCGCCTCCCAAAAACAGATCTAAAATGTTCAAATCGGTTTACGCTTAGAGCAGTGATAGCTAACCTTTTTGCCATTGCGTGCCAAAAGCAGGGGTCGTGGGGGGGGTGTCACGCACATGCATGCCCACACCCATAATTCAATGTGCCTCCCCATGAATGCACACGCGACCCCCCATGTGCTCTCTCTGCTTTTGGCACGTGATGGCACAGTGGGCCCGGCAGGCCCATTTTTCGCTCTCCCCAGGCTCCAGAATCTTTCTTGGAGCCTGGGGAGGGTGAAAACGGCCTTCCACACCCCCCAGAGACCCTCCAGAGGCCCGTTTCCTGACTTACAGTGGGCCCAGAAGGCCCAAAATTCAGCTGGCTGGTGCGCACTTGCACGCTGGAGCTGAGCAAGAGCAACGCTCGTGTGCCCACAGATATGACTCCGCGTGCCACCTGTGGCACGCGTGCCATAGGTTTGCCATCACGGGCTTAGAGGTTCTCGGGCCACAAAGGATGTTCCAGGGGGAATGTATGCCTCACAAACCACCCACACTGATTCTGGGAGCTTGGACGACCAGCTACACAGGGAGTAGAGAGAATTGCAAGGACGCACAGAGTTCTGTCCCAAGGCCTTAAATTAGGGAAATGGCCATGGGCTTGCTGACAACTCATAACAAGAGAGGAACCACAGTCATCAGTTAAGACAGCCTGAGAGAGAAAAATAAAAATAAACAGCCAGTGTCAGTAAGAAACCTCAGTGCTAATGGCAATGACGGCTGGGTGAATTTCAAGAAGAGAAAGTTTCTGACAATTTCGGATCAGCCACAAGGAATGCTGATCTCAGCAGGTTTTTACCACATAGCCTCTTACTATTTTTGTGGTTCAAGGAATGGCACACGGCTTATTGGGGCAGGTGATGGGAATTTGCAGAACCGCAAAAATTGAGCAAGTGTTGACAAAACACAGTCATGTTCACTTTTCTACTAAAAAAACCAACACCCCACTACTTTCCTGAAAAAGAGGCACTCTTCAATAATAGCTCAGGCAAAGATTCCTCTCGCACATACGTGCTAGTCGTTCCCGACTCTAGGGGGCGGTGCTCATCTCCGTTTCAAAGCCGAAAAGCCAGCGCTGTCCGAAGACGTCTCCGTGGTTATGTGGTTGGCATGACTCAACGCCAAAGGCGCATGGAACTCTGTTACCTTCCCAAAAAGGTGGTCCCTATTTTTTCCACTTGCATTTTTTATGTGCTTTCGAACTGCTAGGTTGGCAAAAGCCGGGACAAGTAACGGGAGCTCACCCTGTTACGTGGCACTAGGGATTTGAACTGCTGAACTGCCGACCTTTCAATCGACGAGCTCAGCGTCTCAGCCACTGAGCCACCGCGTCCCTCAATAATAGCTAGGGATACACAAAACGTTGTGGCTGTGAAGTGTGGTGAGTGCAAAACAATCAAACCTGTTTTGATGGTTCTGAGAATGAAATGGAACACCCGCATTTGGCTGAGAGCTTTTATTCTGGCATGAGCCAAATCTTGGCTGTTTTTGAGTGGTGTAGATTTGAGTAGGGATGTGCAAATTATTCCTCCTTCAAACTGTTTCAGTCGAAAAGGGTACAGTTGGGATGTTTCAAGTGTGAAAGTCGAACTGTGGAGTGTGAAAAACAATACACTTTTTTTCCTGTTTCCTGCACGGCATTCATAACACCTTAAACTACAGGTACCCTGACATGGAGTTTTCAAAAAAAATAAAATAAAAATCTAGGTCCAAGAATGTTGAAATTGCACTGAATCGGATTTACCTTATCTCTGAAGAGTGCCGCAGCTCTGCTGTTGTACTTCTCTTGCAACGACCAGCAAGGATCATAATCATCTTGAGACTCTAAAAATTCTCGGTATTTAAGGTTACCGCCAGCCTTCATTTTCTCCAATTCGATGTCTTTCCATTTGTCCATTGTGACAGAGCGCACAAAACTGTAAATGACAATTCAGCGGCTTCTCAGTATGCCAGTATGGCCATCAGCATTGAAACAAAGATGCATTTATTGAGAAATGTTATTCATTTAGAAGATTTATTGGCCGCCCATCTTACATCAGGGTAGCTCTGAGCAGCTTATAATCGTTAAAAAAAATAAAAACTGTACAAAGATAAAAGCATAAATAAAATACTACGCACAGCCAAATATAAGTAAAAGGTGGCCCAATTAAAGGCCCAATGAAAAGACAGAGGGTGGGAGAAGGATCGGGGGACGTGGTATCTGTTGTTCATCGATCAACTACTTCCCCCTCCCCGAGAATTTCCAAAATTCTTGGAGCAAACATAGCAAAAATGAATTTGTGCTCAAGCAAAATTTAACCCTTAAAATCCTGACTCTGCCGGTTGGTGTGGGGTCCTGATGGAGAAACTGGAAGCTGTAGGTGATTGGAGCAGTAACAGAGAAGGTGTCAAACCCCAGGGGCATCAGGAAATCCAGGCAGTTCAAGTGAGTATAAAGATTTATTGCAAGTTTAAGTTCTCTACAAGAATCCGAACTACTAATGGTGCAAGGAAATTGGCGGTAAATAAGAGTCAATGAAATTCATGGTGGGATGGACCTAGATCTCGAAGGGACTCGAGACTGATGACACATTTAACCCCTCCCTTGGGCTCAGTCTGGTCATCTCCTACAGAAGGCATCACTGCCGCTCTGCTCTAAACTCATGGTCTTTTACTCTTATATTTAATAGTAGCTGGATACCCGTGCTCCGCTACGAAACTATGTGATCAGGCTTGATAAATCGACACTTACAGCTTGAAAATTAATGAGTAGTTGCAATCGACCTCTCCTCTCCCCTTCTCTTCCTCAGGCTTGCCCCACAGAGGCCTCTCCTATCTTATCCCCTTCTCTCCCTCAGGCTGGCCCCAATGATCCCCTCCTATCCCCCTTTCTCCCTCAGGCTGGCCCCACAGAGGCCTCTCCTATCTTATCCCCTTCTCTCCCTTTCAGGTGGGGAGTAGAATGTCTAAACTCCCAGCCCGCAGGCCGGATGAATCACACGCTGGCCACGCCCACACCCAAGTGGCAGTTGGAACAGAGTTCTTTTCAGGTGGGGAGGGGAAGTAGAATGTCTAACTCCTTAGCATGAGAATGTGTTAATAATAATATAAGAAATACTAATGATCTGATGATCATTTCGAAAAATCCTTTCTTAGCAAGCACCTAGAAGCCAAGAGGAACATACATGCCAAATTTCAAGTTTGTAGGCTTTACAGTTCTGGAGATTTCGTGATGATGCATGAGTGGTATTTCGCTTTTATATATATAGATTTTGCCATTTTAATCTGTTTTTATATCTATTAAATATTTATTTTTTATTATATTGGAAGCCGCTGCCCACCGTCACCCCAAACAGCAAGATGGGTGGTACGTACATTTAATACATAAATAAATAAAGAATTTACATAAATCAAAAGCTATCCAGGATAGAAAGTATAGGAGGGAAGAGAGCCACCTGTCCTTTGGGAACACCTTTTATCCCGAGATCCGGCAGGCCACTTTTAGAAAAGCCTTGAAGACCTGGTTTTTTCCCACAAGTCTTGGCTAGCATGAGGTTGAAGAGCAGTGAAATTGTTTGGACATGTAAGGAATATGTTTTGTTTTTGGGGGGGATGCCTGAAATTTTGAGGCTGGTTTTATGGTTTTTATTATTGTTTCTAATCCAACAAGAGCTACATTATAGAAGATGGGCAGCTGTATAAATCTGTTCAGTCAATAAATAAAACAAGGAAATTAATAGGGCGCAACCATTTCTTGTATTATTAATGCATAATCAATGACCAACCTCAGGTGAACTCCCAAGCCTCTATGTTTTCCCGAGCACTCCAGACAGATCCAGATTCCATAGGTCACACTCACCCACTGGGGGTTAAATGCACCACACTCAAAACAAACCTGTAAAGAGAGGTGGGGGGGAGAGATAATTATGAGTTTTCCACAGTAAATCTAGGGCTTTTAGTCCCACCTTGAAAGTCAGCTGAGTGACTTAGAGTCAATCACCAGGAGACTGAGAGTTCAAATCCTGCCTTAGGCATGAAAGCCGACTGGGTGACTTTGGGCCAATCACCAGGAGACTGAGAGCTCTAATCCAGCCTTAGCCATGAAAACCAGCTGGGTGACTTTGGACCAATCGCTGTTTCTCAGCCCAACCTACTTCAAAAAGGATTCTTGTGGGAAAATTAAGGGGAGGAAGGAGTATTAGATGTGTTTGCCACACTGATAAAGTAACAATGGCAGGATAAAAATCCAATAAAAATGAAATAAAAATAAAAATAACAAGCAGCGTTCATAAAAATGTTATTAGGCAAAATCAAGCTTAGGTATGCCCATTTAACATAAAGGCTTTCCCAGGTGATCATCACCTTGAAATAATGAATCACAAGAGTGTACGGAGGGAGAGACAGACAGACAATTTGGTATAACAGTGAAAGTAGTGGGACGGGAAAACCAGGATTTCTGATCCATCCTCAGCCACCGAAACTGAATGGGTGGCTATGGCTATCTCTCAGTCCAATCTATCTCTCAAGGTTGTGTTCTGACCTAGGCTTCCCCAAACCACGAAGCAGACTCCTTGTCCCGACAAAAAACCCTTTTATTTAATTTACAGTGAATTCCTCTCCAGCAAAGTCTTTCCTCTCCCACAGTCTTTCAAGATAGTTCACAATTACCGACCTTTATCAGGCTTGGAGAATGGCCAGGCTGATATCTTTCAGACACCGCAATAATTGGCAAGAATGCAGAAATGAACTAATTGTCTCCTGCGAACTCCACTCCCCTTTTCGCTCCTCTTTTATTCCCTCTGGGAGGGGCCATTCATCGTCCACCTGTGGCCTTACTCCCTAGTCGACCCTTGTTCTTTAGCTTTTCCCTTCGTTTGGCAACTGCGCATGCGCACACTGGGAACAGGCTCCAGCTGTTCGTCTGCCTCACTGATGTCTGACTCCAAAGGCAGCTGATACCTGGCATACGGCCCTGGCCCACTCTCTGCCTCCGACGCAGAGCCCTCATCAGAGCCTTCCCCAGACTCCAGGACCGGCCCATGTTCCTCCCCAACCTCCTCACTGTCCGAATCTGTTGCCAGATCTGCTGGCTGCTGGCAAGCCACAACAGTTTGTGTAGGAAAAATGGGGGTTATGTTCATTTTCGTATGCTACCTTGAGTGGTAGAAAGCATAGCTGGGAAATAATACTGAAAATGATGGTGATTGATGATGATCACGAGGAAGTTTGGATAGATGCAATGATGAAAGAAATAGATTTTGTAAAGACAATTCAGTGTTTATAGTGGAAAACTGCTTCCAACAACATAAAAGCAGGCACTACATCTGGACCCCATCTGAATCAAACCGACAATTTAACAGGAAACAGAAGATGGAAAATCTAATCCAATCAGCCATCACATATACAGATTCTGAAACAGACTATATGCATTATTAATATGGAGTAAAACTAGACAATTGAAGACAACGGGCAAGATTTTGAACTAGAAATTTATTTATTTATTTATTTATTAAATTTATATACCGCCCTATTCCTGAGGGACTCAGGGCGGTGAACAGCGAATGATAAAAATACATGTAATACAAACGTTAAAAAAAAAAAAAAACCCAATTAAAATATACTAAACACTCTGGTCCTAAATCATACGGTCAGAGAAGATCAATCCAAAAACACTTTATATGTCCGAAAAAGAATCCAAAGAACTATAGAGAAAGACAAGAGAAGCTGTAAAACCAAAACCAAAATAAAACAAAACACCATAATGATTAAGAAGTGGGATTAGGACTGGAGAAATTCTGGTTCAAGCTCATCTTCTACCTTCCTTAATGGCTTTGGACCACTCATTCACTCACTCACTCTCAGCCCTTTGAAAGATAAAAAAGATTTAAGTGGTTTTTTCCAAAGAAATTATCACAATGGTTAGGAAAAGATGGAAGACGAAAGCTTTGGGACAATAAGAGAGAGAACTTAGTTTAACACCTAGGAGGAAAACAGCATGGAAAGATTATTTCAATAAGAATGTTGGGAAAGCGAAGAAGGCAACAAAGAAGGGCAAAAATAAGTTTTGAAAGAAGACTGAGAAATCAGAAGAAAACTTACAGCTGGGGTAATCATGAAAGAGATTTAAGAGAGGCATAATATGTTCCATGAAAGTACAAAAAAAAAAGGTTATATTGAACTTTTAATAAGCAGGATTAAAGAATTATGAAAACATCTGTAGAGAGAGAGACCGCACTGGAAAGTGAAAAGGGGAAAAACAACACAAGCAGCTGTCAAACAGCAAACTGCCAAGGGCAGACAAAATAATCACATAAAAGTGTTTAAAGCTTCAGGAGAATAGGCAGTTAAAGCACAAACTGTTCTATATCAGCAGGGCAGGAGACTGAAAAAGGTGTGTATGCCCATACTGAAGGAAAAAAACAAGACAATTACAGCTAGTCCTCGACTTACAGCAGTTGGCTTAGTAACCGTTCAAAGTTAGAATGGCACTGAAAAAAAATGAGCTATGGCCATTTTGCACACTTATGACCATTGCAGCATCCCCAGGGTCACGTGCTTTACATTGGGATGCTTGACAACTGACTCACATTTATGACGGTTGCAGTGTCCCAGTCTTGTGATCCCCTTTTGCGACCTTCTGACAAGCAAAGTCCATGGGGAAGCAGATTCACTTAGCAACCATATTACTAACTTAACAACTGAAGGGATTCACTTAACAAATGTGGCAAGAAAGGCTGTAAAATGGGGCAAAGGTCACTTTACAAATGTCTCACTTAACGACATAAATGTTGGGCTCAATTGCGGTCGTAGACTGAGGACTACCTGTATAAAAATATTACCAAAAAAATACAGCCATGCATGGAAAAAGAAATGTCAAACAAATATGGATAGTCTTCAGCTTGCAATCATTTGTTTAGTTCAAAGTTACAATAGCACTGAACAAAGTGACTTATGACCGTTTTTCACACTTGCGACGACTGCAGCATCCCCATGATCACATGATCAAAATTCGGGGCCTTTAGCAACCCAGCATTTATGATAAACTGCACTGTCCCGGGGTCCTACGATCACCATTTGTAACCTTTCCAGCTGACTTCCAAGAAGCAAAGTCAATGGGTGAAGCCGTTTGCTTCATGACTGCATGACTCACTTAGCGACTGCCGTGATTCGCTTAACCCCTGTGGCCAAAAAAAGGTCGCAAAATGGGGCAAAGCTCATTTAAACAAACTGCCTTCTTAGCAATGGAAACGTTGGGCTAAATCGTAGTCATAAGTCGAGGACTACCTGTATGATATGACCGTTCTCTCTCCCCCCCCCAAAGCCCACAGCTTCAAGAGAGATGCTCATGGAACAGCGAGGGAGGAAAGAAATGAGCCAAGATGGCATAGTGGTTAGAGTGCAGTACTGCAGGCTACTTCTGCTGACTTCCGGCTTTCAGCAATTCGGCAGTTCGAATCTCACCAGGCTCAAGGTTGACTTGTCCTTCCATCCTTCTGAGGTTAGTAGTAAAATGAAGACCCAAATTGTTGGGGGCCATAGGCTGACTCTGTAAACTGCTTAGAGAGGGCTGTAAAGCACTGTGAAGCGGTATATAAGTCTAAGTGCTATTGCTAATGCTGTCCCCTCAGCCAGCCAGATCAATTCCGGAGTGACAGATGTGGCAGCCAGATCACTCTCATGCCCTGGAAATCAGCTCAGGCCAGATAAAATTATGGAAACACGAGATGGATGCTCAAGCCAGAGAAAAGGACAGACACAAGGCCACTGCATTGAAAGGGCAAATGACAACAATCTATGATTTAAAACCCAGGAGTTATTTAGCTATATCAAATTCCGGAATCTTCCAATGCTTTTCAACTGTGAGTTGAGTTTCTGGGGAATCAATGCCATGCCTGCTTTGTCTGCATATTAATAACAATTCTGGCAAGGGTTTTAAGGAAGCATCTGTGGAAATCAATTTGACATTTCGGGAAAAAATTAGAAGAAAAACCACAATTAATGGTAGACGAGAGGAGGAGAAACAGAAAGGAATTGTTCAACTGATTAGCAGGAAGATTAATCCTCCTGCAAGGAAGTATTAACTTTCCATTAACATTTTCAGAACCGGTAAAGACTCCTCAGGAAATTCAATGACATATTATCGAAAGCTAACTTCTAGACTGCATATAAAGGTAAAGGTTCCCCTCGCACATATGTGCTAGTCGTTTCCAAATCTAGGGGGCAGTGCTCATCTCCGTTTCAAGGCCGAAGAGCCAGCGCCATCCGAAGACATCTCCGTGGTCATGTGGCCAGCATGACTAAACGCCAAAGGCGCATGGAACGCTGTTCCCTTCCCACCAAAGGTGGTCCCTATTTTTCTACTCGCATTTTTTAATGTGCTTTCGAACTGCTAGGTTGGCAGAAGCTGGGACAAGTAACGGGGGCTCACCCCGTTACGCGGCACTAGGGATTCGAACCGCTGAACTGCCGACCTTTCGATCGACAAGCTCGGCGTCTTAGCCATTGAGCCACCGCGTCCCAGGCATCAAATGTAGTATACTATTAACTCAAGCCACCCACAAAAATATTATTTCCACTCTTGCTATTCTTCGGTAATTTTAAATAGCCTCTAGATTAGCCATAGGTATGCGCACCGATCAAAATTGTTTTCTTTGGAGTAGTGCCAGGAGGTTATTCAGTGAAATACAGTGAATAAGTGATTCATATTTAAAAATGGAAAGTAAGCTATACTTATACCCGTTCAAGACCGCACATTCCAAAACAAATCTCGCTAAAGGATCAAATGTTTTGACAGGATGTATAAAAAAACACTTCACTCAGAGATACTTTTCTGAAGACTGAAACATGCTTCAGGAACATTTTTCCCGCCTCACAGTATGGGCGGCCACGAAGGGAGCAAACAAGTGTTGTGATGCTGCCACACAAACGCCACCCATAGTAAGAAGCAAAACCTGCAGAATGGTGTCAAGATAGGTCTATGGAGATTCTCAGCCATCCAGGTCATGGTTGTCCCAAAAGTGCTTTTTCAAAAAGGTAACTGGGCTTTGTTTTTCCTTGAAGACGTTTCACTTCTCATCCAAGAAGCTTCTTCAGTTCTGACTGAATGGTGGGAGGATGGAAGGATTTATATTCCTTGCAGTCATCTGGTCATTGACATTCTTTCTAAGAGTCGTTGAGGCCAGCTGGAGGTTTGTCTGTGCGCCCTTAAGGTCACCTGAATAGTGCAAATGTGTGTGGAAGTTCTTCTAGCACCGTGATGGTGAACCTATGGCAGCCATATCAGTGGGCACGCAAGCTCAGCTCCAGCACACGCTAATTTTCAGGCCTTCTGGGCCCACCAGAAGTCGGGAAACAGGCTGTTTCTGGCCTCTGGAGGTCAGAAAGTGGGGTGGGGAAGGCCGTTTTCATCCTCCCCAGGCTCCTAGAAAGCCTCTGGAGCCTGGGGAGGGCGAAAAACGGGTCTACCGGACCCACCATGCCATCACATGCCAAAAGTGGGGGGAGCATGGGGTGGTTGTGCACGGGGGGGGTGGGCGCATAGAATTATGGGTGTGGGCATGTGTGCACGCAACCCCCTGCACTCCCCCCACTTTTGGCACATGATGGCAAAAAGGTTAGCCATCACTGTTCTAGCAGTTCCAAGGCGGTCCCACACCCATTTGCACTATTCAGGTGACCCTGAGGGCACAGATAAACCTCCAAGTGGACTCTCAGTAAGTCGTAAGTCGAGGACTACCTGTGTTTATAAACAAGAAATATTTGGCGTTTTCAGGAATAGTCTTGCAAACAATGCGAGTCATACCATTTAGTTAGAAAAACTGACACTTTGCAGCAAATTGGTCCAGTAATTTGCATGTGTAATATAATAACCACATGCATTCATTATCTAAGACGAGCTGGAGCTGACTCATGGCCACTTAATCATATGGGGCTGAGAAGTTAATCCAAGTTACTTACATTGTTTTCATCTTGCACTCTGACTTCTTTAAGGACTTTCCTTGTTCTTGGACTTGCCATGGTCCTGCAGGAGAAAAACAATCGATGCAAACAAAATTCAGACAACAGAGGAGTTTATGTCAGGCGCAAAGAAGTCAGGACCACACATTAAGTTAAGGTGATTTATTGCTCCTGCCTACAAGGATTTAGTCAACTAACGGTCAGCACTAAATTGACTGTAGATAAGAGTCAATGGCTGTCAACTGTCCCATTGGCGTGCACAACAAAACAAACTCTAGATTATTTTTATTACCAAGAGTAAAACTTTACTGACAGATCCATTCAGGCACAGAAGAAGCGAAGTCAGTTCTGACGTTTTGGCACGAAGCGCGGTATAATCAAACCTGTGGGCCCTGGGCCGCCCAGTGTCCACCAATCCATGTTAGGCATTTTGTTTTGGGAAAAGTCTTCACCTTTCAAAAGTCTTCAGCTTATGACCTTGATTTACCAAGATTTTTTCAGGCAGCAAACAGCTCATATAGATTCCTTCTCTCCCTCTCCAATCACACCCCTCCCCCTTCCCTTAATTTCTTTGTCAAGCTGCAAGTAGAAAGAGACAGGTTGTGAGTCACCCTTGATGTGGACCTTCAAGAAGGATTGGACTCTTAGACCATTTGTGAGAACATAAGGATTCCAGGCTGATTCCTCACTTGACTCCTCCCCCAGGCTCTGCCTCTCCTCCTACAGTTTAGCAGAAAATGTTACTGGGATTCCTGGTTTGTCAATCTGAAAGCAACTGGGAGATCAAATATGAACTCTTTCCCATTAATATCACAGCATTAATATCAATAAGGTTACCTACTATCGCAGCTTGAAGTAGTACTTTTGACCATGATCTACTTGCAGTAACAAAACACAATTAATGCCAGATAGGAACGGGGGCGGGGGGGAAACAGGCCACGTTCTCTAGCTTGGATCATAATCTGCAAACCATGCTTTGAAAGGGAACCAACATTTAATAAATATTGTCAGGGAAATGTTCTTTCCGCAATGAAAAAGATGAAGAGAATAATTCTAGTGGAACATTATGAGAAATGCTTGAAACATGAACAGTTTTTATAGCTGCCTTTGCGTTTTTCAAAAAGAATGAACTTTTATTTAACAGACACCATTCTGAAGGATGCATAGTCACAACTGGGAAAATCCAAAATATTTTAAGCTTTAGCTGGTAACTCAACAAAATATTATTTTTTTAAAAAAGCCATATGCTTTTCTGGCTTTTATCATTTTTTGTCGATAAAAAACCAGCGTTGCAGCAAACGTTTTAAGGAAAACCAGAACATCTGTTGGAGACTTCTACCCCACATGAGAAAAGGTGAGAGGAGACTTGAAAGCAAGGATTTTCTTTAAAGATTCCCATCTGGTGGGACTAATAGAAGTCCATTCCTAATATTTAGGAAATTAAAAAACCTGTTTTTTGAAATTGTGGCTTGAGAAGTTATTGCACTTGAGGTGACTGGTTGCACTATTTATCTACTATATTAATAATGATCTGATTTATTTATTTATTAGTTTGATTTATTTATTTATTAGTTTGATTTATATGCTGCCCTTCTCCGGAGACTCAGGGCGGCTTACAATGCTTTTAAGCAATAGCCTTCATACTTTTGTATATACCTGCTTAGTAGGGCTTTTTGGGCCCCCCTAAGCGGTATTCTATTTTATACAAAGTCAGCTTATTGCCCCCCCAAACCAGGTCCTCATTTTACCTACCTCGGAAGGATGGAAGGCTGAGTCAACCTTGAGCCTGGTGAGAATTGAACTCGCAGTAATTGCAGGCAGCTGGCAGCTAAATACTACTTTAACAGTAGTTTAGTCCACTGCGTCACCAGGCTCTTAGTGATGAGGAGGTTCCTGTGGAATTGAGGTTATTAAGATGCGCTTATTTATTTACATGTCAATTTAGATGCTGCTGATTATTGTTGCTATTTTTTGCTGCAGGCTGCTTAGAACTTCCCCAACTGAAGCTGCAGAAACCTAAAATCAAAATAAACCTGGGCAGCCAATCGGTATTTCACAAGGAAACCTGTACAATCTGAAAGAACAGGCGATGGGGTCGGTTCAGAAAGGTGAATTCTTGGGCACAACTTGCCCATGTTTCTGATTTGAAGCCATCGCTTCTGTTAAATGACTGCTATAATCACAGCGCTGTCAAGGTGCTAAGCTTCGTGGAATACATGGAGGCTTGCCAAAAACAGAGAAAGAAAAAGAACAGAGAGGGCGAGATGAAGAGAGTTAGACTGCATTATTTTTGGCTATCCCTCAGAGGTATCTTTCTTCTTTTAACGAAACAAAGCAATTAAAACTTTGCAAAACAGGCTGCAGTGAAATGAAAGGGAAGCCCAAATCTTTGAGGAACGTGCACTTGCAGTAATTAAACCTCTTACAGGTTTAACACCTAGGTAGCCTAAACAGAAGCATGGTTACCGTACCTCTTTGTGAAAGGTGAAAAGGTAACACAGATAGTCCTCACCTTATGGCCGTTTAATAAATTTTCAGAGTTACGGAAAAAATGACCAGTCCTTGCACTTACGACCACGAAAGTGACCCAGCAAGAAGGTAATAAAAATTTGGCCATGTGATAATCAGCATTTATTTGTGACAATTGAAGCATTCCAGGCAATCAGAATTTCACTTTTTGATGTGTGCTAGTGTGTACACAGAAAAAGTGATAATAAAGGTTACCTTATCTCTCTCTCTCTCTCTCTTATCTTTAAGAATGCTGAAAGATGGACATGAATTGAACATTTAATAGGCCTGAAATTAATAGAACAAAAGAAAATATATTATCTATTCCAATAATAAATTATAGTTCATAAAAAAAAATCTATGGTTGATTAAATCCAAGTTAGGATCTAGATACTGTATCATACATTACAAGGGCAATTTGAAATTGTACGCTTGAAGGAACTCTGTGGGTGGGTTGCTAAGCTGCTCTTACCAGATGCCCAAAGACAGTGAAGCACAAAAGTGTAGCAGAAAGAGAATTTTGGCGATGGGGTTAAAAGGAGAATCTTAAATAAAATAAAATAAAAATCCTATTTCTAAGCAGTGTGTGAGGTGAATTTACAAGATGTTTAATTAACACCACAATACTGTACAACAACAAAGGTTCCTAAAAACCGATTCCAAATCAAAAGACACTGACAGCTAATCCAGAAAAACGCACACAGCTTGGACTACAGTAATGCTATTTTTAGTTAAAACGTTCTTTGTCAGTTTTTCCTGAATACAGGTAGTCCTCAATTTATGACAATATTTATGTTGCTAAGTGAGAAATTTGATGGGTGAATTTGCCCCATTTTACAATTTTTCTCACCACATTTGTTAAGTGAATCACTGCAATTCTTAAATTAGTAACACAGTTGTTAAGTGAACCTGGTTTCCCCGTTAACTTTGCTTGCCAGAAGATTGCAAAAGGGGATCACATAACTCCAGGACACTACAACCGTCATAAATGTGAGTCAGTTGTCAAGCGTCCGAATGTAAATCACATAACCACAGGGATGCCGCCATGGTCTGTATGACATGTATGAAAAATGGGCGTAGGTCACTTTTTTTCAGTGCCGTTATAACTTTGAAAGATCACCAAATGAACTGTTGTAAGTCGAGGACTACGTGTATTTAGTCCGGTATGAAAACAGAAAATAATTTATTCTCACATTTTTTAAGAAGGAAGAATATGCAGTAGAAATAGTACTCAACTTACGATTACAATTGGGAGCCAGAATTTCCATTGCTAAGGTAGGTGGTTGTTAAACGAATTGTGCCCAAGTTTACACTTTTGTGCCACGATTGCTAAGTAAATCCCTGCAGTTCTTAAGTGAATTACACGGCTGCTAAGTGAGTCTGGCTTCCCCATCGATTTGCTTGGTGGAAGGTAGCTGGGAAGGTCACAAATGGAGATCATATGATTCCAGGATGCTGCAAACATGGTAAATACATGCCAGGAGTCATGTGCCTGAATTTTGATGACGTGACTGAGGTGAAGCTGTGACGGTTGTGTGAGGACTGCTTGTAATTCACATTTTTCAGGGACATTATCACTTCAAACAGTTGTTAAATGAAAGGTTTTAAGTCAAGGACTTCTTGTACTTTCAGAATAGTTAGTGGCTTTTCTATGAAGTACCTTCCCAAACCTAACAGGAAAGGGTTAATTTCACTTTTAGCTAGTTTAACGCTTGTGTTGATCTCCACTGAATGTGGCTTAATAGCAATAGCACTTATATACCCCTTCACAGTGCTTTACAACTCTCTCTAAGCGGTTTACAGAGTCAGCCTATGGCCCCCAACAATCTGGGTTCTCATTTTACCGACCTCGGAAGGATGGAAGGCTGAGTCAACCTTGAGTCGGTGAGATTCGAACTGCTAAACTGCTGGCAATTGGCAGTCAGCAGAAATAGCCTGCAGTACTGCATTCTAAGCACTGCGCCACCACAGCCACCCCGGAGTCCTGCCAAATTTAAAAACGATAATCAATTGCAGTCTACTAGTGTAGAAGAATTGTTCATCCATGTTCTATGGGATTGCCAATCACGCTACTTGGTGCTAATTACCCCCAATTTAAGAACCATTGTTCTACAGCAACAGAAATCTAAAGTTAGCCATAGCAATATCTACTGGCATATATCCCAAAGATGCTTTTTTTCCAAGCGGCAACTGGACTTTCTGGTTTTTTCTTTGAAGATGTTTTGCTTCTCATCCAAGAAGCTTCTTCAGCTCTGACTGAAGGATAGTAGGGAATGGAGGGATGTATACTCCTTGCAGACAGCTGGTCATTTGCATTCTTTTAGAGAACCATTGAGATCATTTCGAGGTTTGCAATAGTGTGGTCAATGCCTGGAATGCACTACCTGACTCTGTGGTTTCTTCCCCAAGCCCCTAAAACTTTAACCTTAGACTGTCTACCGTTGACCTCACCCCATTCCTAAGAGGTCTGTAAGGGGCGTCCATAAGAGCACCAGCGTGCCTACCGTCCCTGTCCCCATTTATTCGTAACCATCTCATGTATTCATAATCATGTTT